GTTTCATCAAGGAGAAACAAACAGAACTTTCACACCGTAGCCTGGCCAGTCATGAAACTGGTTTTCAAAGTTTCTCTGATGCGTACTGCAGCCTCCTGTGCTCTTCTAACCACCCTGGTGTCTGGCTGCGCGTAACCAGCGGCCAGGCAATTTGCCTCAACCTCCCTCCCTGCCATAAACATCTCCCCCTTACTCTCACAGATATTGTGGAGCGCACAGCAAGCAGTAATACCAGTCGGAATATTGGTTTCGCTGAGGTCTAAGCGAGTCAGTAAACTGCACCAGTGTGCTTTTAAACGTCCAAATGCACATTCTACCACCATTCTCCACTTGCTCAGCCTGTAGTTGAACAGCTTCTGACTACTGTCCAGGCTGCCTATGTATGGCTTCATAAGCCATGACACTAAAGGGGTAGGCTGGGTCCCCAAGGATAACGATATGCATTTCAACATCCCCAGTGGTTATTATCTGGTCTGGGAATAAAGTCCCTTCCTGCAGCTTTTGAAACAGACCAGAGTTCCTGAAGACACATGCATCATGTACCTTTCCCGGCCATCCCACGTTGATGTTGGTGAAACGTCCCTTGTGGTCCACCAGAGCTTGCAGCACTATTGAAAAGTACCCCTTGCGGTTTATGTACTCGCCGGTTTGGTGCTCCGGTGCCAATATAGGGATATGGGTTCTGTCTATGGCCCCACCACAGTTAGGGAATCCCATTGCAGCAAAGCCATCCACTATGACCTGCACATTTCCCAGGGTCACTACCCTTGATATCAGCAGATCTTTGATTGAGTTGGCTACTTGCATCACAGCAACCCCCACAGTAGATTTGCCCACTCCAAATTGATTCCCGACTGACCGGTAGCTGTCTGGTGTTGCAAGCTTTCACAAGGCTATTGCCACTCGCTTGTGAACTGTGACGGCTGCTCTCATCTTGGTATTCGTGCGCTTCAGGGCAGGGGAAAGCAAGTCACAGAGTTCCATGAAAATGCCCTTACGCATGAGAAAGTTTCGCAGCCACTGGGAATCGTCCCAGACCCGCAACACTATGCAGTCCCCCCAGTTGGTGCTTGTTTCCCGGGCCCAGAATCGGCATTCCACTGCATGAACCTGCCCCATTAGCACCAGGATGCCCACATTGCCAGGGCCCGTGCTTTGAGAGAAGTCTTTGTCCATGTCCTCATCACTCTCGTCACCGCGCTGACGTCACCTACTCGCCCGGTTTTGCTTTGCCAGGTTCTGGTGCTGCATATACTGCTGGATAATGCACAAGGTGTTTAATGTGCTCCTAACTGCCAAAGTGATCTGAGCAGGCTCCATGCTTGCTGTGGTATGGCATCTGCACAGAAAAAAGGTGCGGAACGGTTGTCTGCCGTTGCTCTGACGGAGGGAGGGGCGACTGACAACATGGCTTACAGGGTTGGCTTTCAGGGAATTAAAATCAACTGGGGGTAGCTTTACATCAAGGAAAAACAAAAACAACTGTCACACAGAATGACCCCCTCAAGGATTGAACTCAAAACCATGGGTTTAGCAGGCCAATGCTCAACCCACTAAGCTATCCCTCCCTCTGGTATTTCAGGCAGGACTGAATCTCCATTAAAGTTTTGAAGGTGCCCCTGACAGACCTCCCCAAAATGATTGTCGGCCGTTGATTTCACGGAGGGAGGGAGGGGGAGCAAATGAATACAAATCTGGTCTATTTCTTGTTTTGATTCACTCCATCTATCCTTTACATCTTTGGCTGTCAGCAGACAGTGCTATAGGACTGCTAGCCATCCTCATCTCCTGCCTGCTCACCATAAGATGGTACAATAGGACTGCCTGCAGGACTAAAGAGAATGACCTGGTCTAGTCACTCCTAATTTAGTCCCTGTGCCCATGTCTGCCCAGGCGCTCCTGACCGACCTTACCGAGGCAGCCAGGAGCACCTCGGACACGATGACGATGGTTTTCAGGCCTATTGCACCGTCTGCTGCCACAAGGCAATGGGTTGCTGCTGCTGCTGTGTAGCAATGCAGTACCATGTCTGCCAGCACCCAGGAGACATATGGTGACAGTGAGCTGAGCAGGCTCCATGCTTGCCGTGATATGGCGTCTGCACAGATAACTCAGGAAAAAAGGGGGCGAAACGATTGTCTGCCGTTGCTTTCACGGAGGGAGGGAGGGAGGGCCTGACGACATGTACCCAGAACCACCCACGACAATGTTTTTTGCCCCATCAGGCATTGGGATCTCAACCCAGAATTCCAATGGGCGGCGGAGACTGAGGGAACTGTGGGATAGCTACCCACAGTGCAACACTCTGGAAGTTGACGCTCGGTACTGTGGAAGCACTCCGCCGAGTTAATGCACTTCATGCATTTAGACCATTTTGTGTGCGGACACACACAATCGACTATTTAAAAACGATTTCTAAAAAACAGACTTCTATAAATTCGACCTAATTTCAGGAGCATCTTATATCTACCATGCACTCTGCACTACACAAGGACGTGCAGATTCAGGCCCAAGTTTTATTATATTATAGATTTTTATCTGGCATTTGTTTTTAAAATAACTACTGTATTCATTTTACTTCTTCATTCTCCCCTCTCTTCAATAACTTTCTTCAAAAAATGAAATTTTTTTTTTATACACACCCCTTAGAGTTTATAGAGAGTGTTCATTAATTTGGGCCCTCTAAATATAAAAAACATATATATATATATAAAGAAAAAATTAGTGGTTACCCTACATAAAACAATAAACAATTTATTATAATCAGTGGGTGCGCGCTCCCTCACTTACTTAAATAAATTAAAAAACTAAAAAAAATAATCAAATAAATTTTTTTTTCGTGCCTCCTTCCCCCCCTCCCTTCTTTCGTTTGATACGTGGGCCCTGCCCACTACCGCGACTCCCCCCCTCCGCGCCTGCCCCTGCCTGCTACTTTGTGCTCACACTTACACACATGCTTACGTGCTTTCCTGGTCTGGGACCATAAAGAGTCTATAGTGTTAGCTATTATACCTCAATTTATGAATACTTCAAGTACTTAAGTTCAACCAAAATAAATTGTTTTGAAAAAAAGCTTCTTGCCCAACCTTATTACGATGAAGGTGATAAAAAAATTAAAATTATTTCACTCAAAAAGTCAAACGAAAAATATTACTCATCCTAAGTGGGTGAGTAAATAATTCAAGTTCTGTAAAGTTGCTTTAGTATTAACTAGCACAGAGTTAAAGCAGCACTACAGATATAACACCAAATGATCTAAACCCATCCTTATACCTCCTTTTCCTACTTTTTTAACCCATTTCCGCCTTCTGCTCACTGTAACTCTCCCTCTGAAAGGCTGTACATTTTAGAGGAAATTATGAATGCAAGAGATCTGGGTTCCCTTTTAATGCTTACTTATTAAAAATAGCTAGAATCCCTAAAAACAAGTGCCTCATCTTCCCAGCCATCAGCATTTCCAACAGGAAAGAAATCAAAGGTTTCAGAGTAACAGCTGTGTTAGTCTGTATTCGCAAAAAGAAAAGGAGTACTTGTGGCACCTTAGAGAATAACCGTGCTGGACGCTTCCTGCAGCTCCCATTGGCCTGGTATGGCAAGCCATGGCCAGTGGGAGCTGCGATCGGCTGAACCTGCAGACGCTGCAGGTAAACAAACCGTCCAGACCTGCCAGCGGATTTCCCTGATGGGCCGCGGGCCAAAGGTTGCCGATCCCTGGTATAGGGATAGTAGAGGGAGTGCAGCCTAGGGGCTGTTGATCAAGGTGTCCACTGTGTGACCTTTGTATACCTGCACATGTGCAGAAGGGACTCCTGGCCGGAGAAGCACAGGTCTCAAAGTCCTGTTATGGTTATGATTCATGTGAAGGGTACTGTTTACCTGTCAATAACTCCATCATGTTCTGTAGTGATTGGTAAATTGTTAATCAGTTGTTAATATATATATTGTATATACTGTTACCAATTCTTTGGCATTATCTGGCTCGGCATTATCTGCTAGCTAGGTTCTGCCACTGTGACTCTGCCTAACCAACAGAGTTACAGTGTTTATGATTTCATTTCTAGAATAAACGCGATTGTTTAATACTAACCAAAGACTCCAGAACTGGATATCTGAAACCAGGTGGGTAGCAGGAGGAACCCGCCAAGAAGCAGTATTGCTTGGGAAGGGAAGGGCCTAGTAATGCCACCAACAAGCACATTTTTCCCCTGCAGTCAGACCCTTGTGGAAAATTGAAATTTGTCAGAAAAATTGATATTTTCCCACAAATGTTTTTGATTTTTGGCAAAAAAAAAAAAAAAAGGCATTTTCCATTGGAAAATTATTCGGATAGAAAATTCTTGACCATTTCATAATCAGCAGGAACACTGAGCAGATCAAGAGATTTCAGGCTCCCATGAATACACACTGCTAGTCAGGTTTCTGTCCAAACTTTTTAGTATGATAACTATGACCATTAACAGAGATCTCCAGAGGAGACAACAACAACTGATAACCAAAAACTCTGGAGACTTGCAAGTTGTAACATGTAAAGTCATGCAAGTTACCAAAATTAGTCAAAACAGCTTTGAAAAGGCACTACAGGCTCTCTTTGCAATCAGCAGTAGCTGACAGCAGAAATGGGTAAGGTTAGCATGCCTTAGTTCTATATTTTTGCACTACCCGCATCATACATAAAAGAGTTCCAGAAGACTATTTCTGCACAGCCAGCCCGGCAGGGAAAGAGCTTCTGAATAGCAATGCAATTGGAGTTGCTTTCAGATGGAGACAGATGCACCTTTCTTGGATGATAAGCTAGCACATGGGACAAAAATCTACTCAAGCTTTTTAACAATTACATAATATTGAAAAGAAATTAACATTCGTTTCAATAGCCAAGCAAGGAATAGTTAACAAGCATAGAATCTTACAAGTATCCAGTTTCATCATAGCATCTGTGACAATAGAACAACCCATCTAGCAATAGAAACCATAGCAGCAATTTAGCAGTTTATTCCACTTACCCATTTCCTGCCTGGTACTGCATACTCCTGTTCCATAGTTCTGTAATTCATCTGCCACTGTTTTCAAAGCATTAGCATCTGTTTCTGCAAAGCCGAGGTAGTTATAAGAACCCATGTTGATTACATCCTTGATAGTTCTTCCAGTAAACCTACAATTAAAGCAGATTTTAAAGAAGAAGGCAATAAATAAATAAGTATTTATCCATCAAGTTTTGTTTTATTGCCATATTCCAACTTGGGAAATTACATTCTGTATACTTATAGTTTCCAATTGTTTTCTACTTCACTGGGTCAAAAGCGGAGGTCACTTACTGTAACTGGAGGTTCTTTGCGATGTCGGGTGCGCATGTGCGCCATGTAGCTGAATTGAAGTTTTTTCCAAGCAATGTCTGTTGGCCCACACATGCACGGTATGCCTCCTTGTCCTCCCGACCAAAGGTATAAGGGACAGCACAGGTCAATACCACTCCCGTTCCTATTCGTACTGCAATGTGGTCAAGTCCCAAGCAGAGGGGATGGAGAACAAGTAGTGGAACAGAGATAGGGACCACATATCTCAAAGAACCTCCAGTTACAGTAAGTAACCTCCTCCTCCTCCTCTTCAAGTGATGGTCCCTATGTGTATTTCACACGTGGGTGACCTGTGATCAGTGATCAGTGTGGTGATGGATGCAAGGAGGCTACTGGCAGAGTCATTTGCAATACAGCTCGTCCCACGGCCTTGTTCATGGCTACTGCATGATCCAGGGCATAGTGCGTTGTGAATGTGTGTATGAAATGCCATGCTGTGTCTTTGCAGATGTCTTGCCACAGAACATCCGCTAATCATAGAATCATAGAATATCAGGGTTGGAAGGGACCTCAGGAGGTCATCTAGTCCAACCCCCTGCTCAAAGCAGGAACAATCCCCAACTAAATCATCCCAGCCAGGGCTTTGTCAAGCCTGTGAAGTGGCGGAAGTGGCTTGTGCCCATGTAGAATTGTAATGCCCCTGGGAGTAAGCTGTAATGCTCCCAGGAGAGGGGAGGTTTGATATCTTGTAGCATTCCAGTATGCAGCCTGAGACCCACTTGGAGATTCTCTGTGGGGATATGGTTTGGCCCCTTGATTTTTTCTGCCAGGGCTACAAAGAGTGGTGAAGACTTTTGAAAGGGTTTAGTTCTTTGTAGGTAGAATGCCAGGGCCCGAATGACATCAAGAGAGTGTAGTCTCTTGTCTGTAGGGGAAGCATGTGGTTTTGGGCAGAACACAGGCAAGTGGATGGATTGGTTGGAATCAGATGGAATTCTGACACAATCTTGGGGAGAAATTTGGGGTGTAGTCTCAAGGAAACTTTGTCTTTATGGAATACTGTGTTAGAAGGGCCAGCCGCCATGGCTGCTAGTTTACTGATCCTTTGGACACAACCTGGCCACTTTTATGAAAAGAATGGGCCATGGTATAAGTTGCCATAGGTTCAAGAGGTAGTCTCATGAGGGCTGAGAGGACGAGGTTAAGGTTCCTCTGAGGTGTGGGTTTGGTGAACAGTGGGAAGGTTTTGAGCAGGCCTTTCATGAATCGTACCATCTTGGGTATGTAGAGATGGAGCATCTGTCCACTGGGGGAAGGAAGGCCACCAAGATGTACATAGATAGAGCTGAGAGCTGAACCCAATGTTTTTAGGGAAAGGAAATAATCTAGGATGACCAGAATGGTCACTGTGTCTGGTGAATGGTGGTGGTGGCAGGCCCACTTCAGGAAGTGACACCACTTGGCTTGATAGCATGTTTTGGTTGATTCTTTTCTGCTCTGGTTAAGGATCTGCTGCACTGGCGTGGAACATGCAAGATCTATGTCAGATGCCCATCCAAACACAAGGGTGTGAGGTGAAGTGTGCCCAGACGGGGATGTTTGAACCTGCCCTGATCTTGAGTGAGAAGATCTGGGGACAACTGGAGCCTGACTGATGCACAGGTGGAGCGCTTCATGAGGTCTGTGAACCAGAACGGTCAGGGACGGTAGGGTGCTGTGAGGATGATGGTGGCTCTGTCCTGATGCACTCTCCTGGGAACCTGAAGCAACAGGGGAATGGGGGCGGGGATGGGGGAGAAGCATATTGTAGGTGGCCCATCCATGACAGCAGGAGAGCATTGCCCTGAGAGTCTCTTCCCACAGTGCCCCAGAGCAATACAGGGAGAGCTTCCAATTTGCATATGACATAAAGAGATCCCAGTTGGGGGTACCCCACCATGTGTAGAGGTTGGTCAGTAATGCATCCTGTAGTTCCCATTCGGGATCAATGTGGAAAGTCCTGCTCAGTGTGTCTGCCAGGGAATTCTGGGAGCCCAGGAGATATGCAACTTTTGAGGTCACCTGGTTTCTGATGCACCAGTTCCACAGTCTGACCAACTCCGAGCAGAGGGAGCGAGATTCAGCCCCTCCTTGTTTGTTGATGTATGCCACCGTGGCAATGTTGTCTGAAAAGATTTGTATGTGGAGAGCATGTAAGAGGGGAAGAAAGGCTTTGCAGGTGAGGCAGACTGCCCTGAGCTCCAGCACATTTGTGTGTTTCCTGACTTCCCATGGAGTCCACGTATCCTGCATTGTTTGGTGGTCCAGGTGGGCACCCCGTCCCATAAAGGAGATGTCTGTCATGATGGTGGCCTTCGGAGCGGGAGGGCTGAAGGGGGTCCCACTCATGACCTTGGATGGACTGGATCACCAAGCAAGAGGGGTCAGAATGTCCAAGGGGACAGTGACTCTGGATTCGATGTGATCCCTGTTCGGCTTGTAGGTCAGGAGGAGCCAAGTCTGTAGGCACTGCATGTGGAGTCTTGCAAAGGGCATCATGTAGGTACAGGCTGCCATGTGCCTCACGAGGAGAGGCACTGGTGGACTGTCGTGCGGGGCTAGTGGCAGATGTGAGCATTTAGGGAGCTCACTGTGGCAAAGCCTTCTGCCAGGAGGAAGGCCCATACAACAACTGAGTCAAGTCTCATCTCTGTAAAACTTATAATCTGTGTAGGTGACAAAATGGACAAAATGAACCAAGCTTCCTCGTGGACAGAGGAAATCGATGCCAACATGATCATGGAGAATTTCAGCTTCCTGATGCATGTAATTTAGCTGTTGAAGGTTCAGGATGGATCTCTGGCCTATGCCTCTTGTTGGGATGAGGAAACATGATGAATAGAATCCTTTCCTTTGGGATTGTGGGGGGAAGCCCTCTTTCACACCCTTGTAGAGCAGGGAGTCGGTTTCCCGCTGAAGAATCAATTGGTGGGAGAGATTCTGGGTGTCTTCAGGTTGCCCATGGAGACTACGAAGGGACCCGGTTTCACAGTCAGGCCTGTTCTGTCCGTGTGATGTCGAGGTGGCACCATCGGAGTATTCGGAGCTGCACTCGTAGACGCACACTCCAAGAGTCCTGATACCAAGGTCACTGGCATTACTGATGGATCCTGCTTCTTCTTTGTCTTACCCTCCAGATGTGGGGTCATTGGCACTGCTTCCGCAGGGTCCGTGCGTGACAGCTCACCCGACCTGGCATAACTGGAGGAGGGAACACATCTCTTATGAGCAGTACGTTGCAGGGATCTGCTCTTGTGCCCGTGAGAGTGTTTTTTTCTCTCATGGTGGACTTGTCCTTACTTTTCAGTGTTTGCGGTTACACACCATGGCTTGTGCTTGGAGAGGGACTGCTGGGTTGTGGCAACTGCTGTACAGGGGGGTCTCCCTGGCCAGGATCTGAGTGCATTCAGGGCCTCATCGCCTCTTCCATCAGGAACTTGCAGAGATGGAGCTCACAGGCCTTTCTGGTTCTGGGCGGGAAGGACTTACAGATGGTACACTTTGCTGAGATGTGTGCTTCTCCCAGACAGTATAGGCACAATCACTAATAGAAAAAGAACGAGGGCAGGAGACGCAGTTCTTGAAGCCTGGGATCCTAGACGTAGTCCATCAGTGATGGGGGGTTGAGTGCCCTGACTGGGGAGTGCTTCTACTAAACTACAACTATATCTACTATATTAACTATCCTAACTAAGCTATAGAGTAAAATTAAGTCTCAATTATTTACAGTAGAGAAAGGCAAGTCTCTCATCTGGTAAGAGCAAAGGAGGATCAGGGTTCCAAATCAGTCCATGTGGCAGTAAGAGGGAACTGGAGTGGCATTGCCTGGTACTGCCCCATATACCTTCAGTTGGGAGCATGAGGAGATGTACCGCACATGTGAGGGTCAACAGACACTGCGTGTGCAGCCATGTGTGGAATACACACAGGGCCCATCACTTGAAGAAGAACTGTTGGCTTCCACACAATGTTTGCCACATTCCATCCTACAGATGACTGCATTTCAGGGTCGAGTGAAACAGTGCCTGTATATATTGTTTGAAAATTGCCTTTAGGATTGTTTAGCAGGAACAATGTACATTTGACATATGCTTATCTGCTTCCCAACTCTGTTGGACCATCAGAGGCATGGCTTCCATCAAGCTGTATTAAGAGAGCCAATACCAGAGGAACAACCATGCATCATTCATTGGAAAAAAGAATAAGGAGACATGTCAATGTAATTTCAATAATTTGAAAAATAATCCATAAAACCCACATGCTGCAACACACCCAATACCTTTCTAATACGTGTGCTTACTTTTTCAAAATATTTCAGCAACCATAGTATAAACAGAGACACTACATCGTTTTCACTGTAGTGCATTTCTACCTCAATTTCAATAGAGTGAAGCTGAGTGTATATAAAGCTTTCAATTCCAAGCTTGGAATTCAATACCAAAGAATTGGTGCAGATCCTTGTGTGTAAATCAGAAGTCTCATCTACACAGCACAAGCAATCATTTTTACAACTGTGCTTAAGAAAGGCTTAAACCAAACTGGGTTATAAGAGAGTTTGGCCGAGCAGTGTGGATGGGTCCAAACTATGTTATAAATGCCTTTAAATCTCTTTTAGGTTTTTACCTGGGTTAAAGCAATTTTTTTTAAAAAAAAGCCCATTTGCAACATAATTTGGCCTCCTTCCATGCTGCCCACCCAAACAGTGTTTAGAAGCACAGTGCTCGATCTTCAGCTGGTGTAGAACCACTGACGTTAATGGATGAAGTGTTAAATGCTGTTGTTTGCCCTTTGTAGATGGGTCAGAAGTAGAAAACTACTATTTTTGTAAAACCAGTAAATCTACAATTAAAGCAGATTTTAGAGAAGGGGCAATATATAAATAAACAAATAAATATTTACCCATCCAGTTTTGTTCTGTTGCCATATTCCAACTTGAGAAATGACATTCTGCATACTTATATTCCCATTATAGCTTTCTACTTCCCTGGCTAAAAAACTGTTGGTTGCTACCTGTAGCCTGACCCACCTAAATGTCCAGTTGAAATCATCTGTAATACGTTCCATCAGGTCAAACTGTGGCCCTGGGACACTGCAGATTGGACGGTTCCAATTATCTCGTATTCTCATGTAGAGGTTTCTTGTGTAAAAGTTCTCAAAATCTTGATAAAGTGGCACAAAATCCTGGTTTGAAAACAAATACAGGGTTACATTTCTAGGGAAGTCACCATCTTATGTACTTTATTTATTTAAATTAAAAAGGCAGACTAATTCATTAAGAAACTGGTAGTAATACAAGCCTAGTAGCAGAGAACTCACAAAAGGGTCTAATATTCTGAAAGCTCATACCAGGAGGAGACGTCATGCCAGATACACATTGTGAAAGTTATTTTGAAAATAGAGAGGTTCATTATAATGCAGAGCTTCTAGCAAATGTGGGATAAAAAGCACATCATAATCCATAAGAAAATGGATTCATTAGATATAACCCGAAAACCTACCGTGATTTATTTTGATATTGTCAGCCTAGACTAGAAGTTCCCACCTCAGTTTATACATGCCTTCTTCTTGTAGGGCGTTGACTTTGGTTGACAAATACTTAACCATGGGTTATATATATGTTGTACCACAGTCATACTAGTTAGCAAATACATACATATGAAATATTAGAATTAACAGAATACACAATGGTGTGGTAAAAAGGTTTTACTGAAATGTTTAGGATCATCATTATTCACAAGTGCCAAATCACAGAGGACATATCAAAAGTGTGATAATGAACTCTTTATATCCTGCTACTTCATTACGTAGCTTATGCTGCTTTTTAAAAAAACCAAAACCTTACAAAACCCACCCCCCATTTTAGGGACAGAAACATCTTCCAGATTTTTTGAATGGAGTTGGTATTTTTTTTTGTATCTTTCCTCCTGTAGCTCCCGGTCCCTTGACTCAAACTACAGAGAGCTCAGAAGAAGAAGGAAATTATAGACTAATCAATTTTAAATCCATACTAATGATTATAAAATAGCTTTTCTGTGTATCACAATGCCATGACTTTAGGGTCACGTATCTTGGGCCTACCAGGGAAAGAAACAATTCTTGGGTGTCTTGTTGGAACATGAGGATCCCTCACTTATTTCTAGCCCTGATCATTCACAAGGCTTTGAGTGGTAAACCTGCCACCAGTCCAAAAATGAATATGGTCAGTCTTGGCCCTCAGACAATGTAATTTTGGGGTGGGGACAGGTGAAGAAGGAAACATTTGTGATAATATATGGCCCATATTTGAAAGCTGCTCAGATTGTTAGAAATAGTGCCCTCATGGGAATCTAAGGGATCAAGCATGAATTGATCATCTGTAGCTGCTTGGGATCATTCATGCTTCCACTTCCTCTGGCAGGTCTGCTTTAAATTGTCTGGATCAGTATCAAACAGACTGGTATTCAATATGGATATGGTCAGTTTAAAGCAGACCTGCCAGAGGAGACTGAAGCATGCATCTAAGGCAAACTGTTTTTGTTTTGTAGCTGGAGCAGAAGAATCAGACTAATTTATGATCTACTTGGCAAACACACACCCTGGGATGGGAATCTGCCAAACTACTCTCTGTGGAGTAGCGAGAGGCAGCACGACAAAGGTCTCAGTTTTAAAAGGGGATAGTATCATAATATTGTCATTATTGTACACTGTATATCAACAGTACTCCAGTGTATTCCCCAAAACTATGCGGGGGTATCATTTATGCATGTGTTAGCATAACAGACTTAGGGTGACAGCAATCCCCAAATTATCCAGGAATAGCGCTCCAGTTTCCAACAATTCTTATAAATCAGGGTTTTATATTTTGGCATCACAGCTTATTTTCTGCTTGATGGCTACCTATGTGTGAACTTCATTTGTATTTACCATCTCCTGTGTTTATAGGAAGAGAACAAGTCACGGTTTTAAAATAGCAGTTTGCTAAGAACTTTTTAAAATACATATTCTTAGGTTAAAAATGTTGATTACTATGCTAAAGAATACCATATGCCTGAGCTTTGTTCTTTCAAGACATATTTTAGCTTTCAAGCAAATATAAAGCTCTTGATCATGCAAATTGCCACCCCCTCTCCTTCTATTATTATGGGCTGTTATGAACAAAATTTCTTTTTGGACAGATAGAAGAGGAAACCCAGCTCCTGGAGAGGCCAGCCAGATGGATTTGTTAGTGTAATGAGAAAAGATAAGAAACAGAGCTACTGGGTATGCCAGGAGTTTAATATATGAGCGTACACTTGGAGATTGCCTCGACTCCTGTCTCAAGGCAAGGTCAAGCAACCAGTCGGAACGGGCAAGGAGATTGGGGGAGGGGAGGTATAAGACACACTAAAAGCCAAAGAAAAGCCCGACCTTGGCCAGAACACAACCTCACTCCTTACCCTTCCCATGGGATACAAAAAAGGTGGTACCAAAGCCCCCAGACTCACGACCCTCCAAAACGGAACATGACCATAAATTGTAAGAGGTGGGACCAGGGGCATGCACTACAGGTATAATTAAGCCTGCTAAGAAGGAGGAAGTGGGAAAAACAGAGAAGGGAAGGCTCTGCAGCGTACAGAGCTATGGATATGCTTGCTTGATTAACCCCAATAAACATCTCATTGCTTGCACTTCAGATTTCTGGTCTTCTGCTTTCTGTCTGCATGACAGGAACCAGGAGAGGGTGAAGGGAAAGCCCTTAACACAATACACTAACTTTTTTCATACATACTTTCTGTTCTTCTCTTTCTGCAGCAAGGCTACATCTTTCTAGTCCACAGGCTCTCATAAAATCTCGCAGGTAGCCAAATATTGTTCCAACGCCAAAACCCACATAAGTCAAAACAGCAACATACATTGGTGCTTGTTCAAAGTGTTCATTAAATGGCCTTTTGTAGAGACCTCCATTTGATATGCCGTTTTTCTGAAAATACAAAATAAGAATCTGTGATTAAAACATTTCAACTGGCTTTAAAACCAAAAATAATTTGCTTCAAGACCTCAGGTTTTTAGGTGCAATCTCTTCCTATAATGTAGCATGGATTAGCAGAGGTGTATCATCACAGCATTAGACCTGGCAAATCCTAAATTTAAGGAGGATTACTTCTTATGCTGTAGTCATTGTTATAGGTTCTAGAAATAAGACAAGCAATAACAAGAAAGGGGGCAACCGGGGCTTGTAACTTGAGTTAGCTTACAAAATTGAGATTGCAGAATCTGCCAGTGTTGAAATCAAGGGCTGTTATTTGTGTCCATTTAATAAAATTTAATTTTTTCCTGTGTATAGAAAAGATACGTCCGCTGGACCCTGACTGAAGGCTTTGCAGGCGCCAAGAGAAATGCATAGATCCACTTAAAAAAATTAGCAGAAAGGGCAAAAATCAATAATGGTGCTAATACTGCTGATGCTCAATTTTATTTATGAAAATTTTATAATTTTTACTTGAAAGACAGAGAGAATGAATTCTAGCTATAAACACATACACATATATTTTATATACACACACAAACACTGATTTGCTCTTGAGGAATTTGCCTCTACCTCATGTTGGGATTGTAAGGTTACAATCCAACCCTTCGTTTATAAATGTAACAAATTTTGGGTCACAAGTCACTGAATTACTAAACATCCAAGATGAAGGTTTGACAGGCTAAATCAATACTAATCAAAATTGATATAGCAACATGATCAGAAATATGGATCTTATCAATACCTACAGTTTCTATCTGTGCTGCGAAGAGTATGGAAATTCAGAAGAATATCTAGCAGGTAGTGAGGCAGTGTGACCTTTCTTCAAGCCAGAAGGGGAGGAACCACCCTCTGTGCACAAGTGGGCGGAGCCAGGCCTACCTCGCCCCTCCCGCTGGAAGTACTTCACTGGGACAGGAAGTATAAAGGGCGGGGCCTCCTGCTCATTTGGGGCCAAGACACCAAAGGAGGCAGATGAACCCTGCTTGCTCCCGGATGCTGACCCTGCTGCTGAACCCAGTGATGCCCTGCCCGCTGGGGAGCCCACTTCTGCCACAGACCTGCTGGGACTGCCACAGGCCACCTACCCAGAGGAGGCAGAGGACACCCTGCTGTTCCACGTACACCCCAAGGGGAGGGGAGGAAATGGCCCAGAGACAGTAAACCATAGCCTGGCTGCAGCTTCGCCTGAGGCACGGCCAGCGTGTTGTGGTTGGGATCCTCGCTGACTCAGTGGCAAACCACTCCGCCACCCTACACTTGAGGTTTCCTCTGGCTCTGCTACAAGAGCCCAGAACAGATTGACTACTGGGTTTGCTATCTCTGCCTCCATAGGCCAGCGCTAATTGACTGGTGGGTTGCTCCGCCCTGGGCCGAAGGGCTTGGAGCTGTTTAATGCTGGTGTCGGCCCGGGCCCCTGCCCCAAGGGCCCCGAGGCCATCGACTAAGGTGGGTGCAGCACCTGCTTGAAATGTCCAAGGGCCCTAGACGGTTGGCTGCACAGCCCGTTAAAACGGTTGGGATGGTAACGCCTATGCTGATTCCCCTGATATGGGGTGGAGGCCCTGACAACGAAGTGAGGTGGTGGTGCCTCCCTCCGACCCAGAGGGAGAGGGACACCTGCCCCACCACTACAAGCCTCAAACGTGTTTAGTGAACTGGAAGATTAAAAAACAAAACCAAAAAAACCCCCATATTCCCACTAGGTCAGGTTTAAATGTTGCAAAGTGTTCTGCATTCTTCAATGTATGTAAAGTATTTATTGTATGAGTCTTCAAGATGGGTTTATTTGTTCCTCATTCCAGGATTACACATTGCCAATACTGACTCATGGCCAAAGCTATTGTACCATGGTACCATCCACTCCAGCATGGTCACATACGTGGGTCAGCTGCACATTGTGATTAACTGTGTGAAAATTAAAGGATGAGTACTGAGGTGTGGCCTCCAACCATGAAGGTCAGCCTTAGCAACACCAATGGAGATCTCCATGCCATGTTCTGAAATTGATAAAGCCTACCACAAGCTAAGGCTAGGCGGTTTGAGGGCTACATGACGAGCACAGCAGATCTAAGTGAAAACATACTTCTGTTATTGTCACCTTATTTCTCAGAGCAGGGACACAAGGCTAGCAGCTTTGAAGGACCCATCCTCTCCTTCCCCCACAGCTGTGGTATTATATTTAAAACTTGTGTAGTGGTGGCAGTTGAAACCCAATCATAGAATCATAGAATATCAGGGTTGGAAGGGACTTCAGGAGGTCATCTAGTCCAACCCCCTGCTCAAAGCAGGACCAATCCCAATTAAATCATCCCAGCCAGGGCTTTGACAAGCCTGACCTTAAAAACTTCTAAGGAAGGAGATTCCACCACCTCCCTAGGTAACGCATTCCAGTGTTTCACCACCCTCCTACTGAAAAAGTTTTTCCTAATATCCAACCTAAATCTCCCCGACTGTAACTTGAGACCATTACTCCTTGTCCTGTCATCCACTACTACTGAGAATAGTCTAGATCCATCCTCTTTCGAACCACCTTTCAGGTAGTTGAAAGCAGCTATCAAATCTCCCCTCATTCTTCTCTTCTGTAGACTAAACAATCCCAGTTCCCTCAGCCTCTCCTCGTAAGTCATGTGTTCCAGTCCCCTAATCATTTTTGTTGCCCTCTGCTGGACTCTCTCCAATTTTTCCACATCCTTCTTGTAGTGTGGGGCCCAAAACTGGACACAGTACTCCAGATGAGGCCTCACCAATGTCAAATAGAGGGGAATGATCACGTCCCTCGATCTGCTAGCAATGCCCTTACCTATAGAGCCCAAAATGTCATTGGCCTTCTTGGCTACAAGGGCACACTGTTGACTCATATCCAGCTTCTCGTCCACTGTAACCCCTAGGTCCTTTTCTGCAGAACTGCTGCCGAGCCATTCGGTCCCTAGTCTGTAGCGGTGCATTGGATTCTTCCATCCTAAGTGCAGGACTCTGCACTTGTCTTTGTTGAACCTCATCAGATTTCTTTTGGCCCAATCCTCCAATTTGTCTAGGTCCCTCTGTATCCTATCCCTACCCTCCAGTGTATCTACCACTCCTCCCAGTTTAGTGTCGTCTGCAAACTTGCTGAGGGTGCAATCCACAACATCCTCCAGATCATTAATGAATGTCATGCAGCTTTTCACATCTCCAATTCTCTTCCTCTGTGCTGCAACTCCATGGCTTCAGACTAGTCTGGGTCCCTCCAAGGTTGAGCCATCTCCAAGCTGGCCTGATCACAATCACAAAAATATGAAAGAGAGAAAACCTAGGAGAAATGATCCAGTAGGAAATGGGAATATTCAGCCATTGGTAGAGAACGCATTGGCTAAAGCTCCAACCCAGTGGACAAATGACCCAGGGCAGTCTTTCCTCATTGGGGGTGGGGTCTTAGTGGCAATTTGTTTCTCATTTGCCTCCATCACAACATCCTTCACTAACTTAATAAAGAATTCTGCCCCCAAGCAAGTCCACTGTTGCTTCCATGAGAGCAGAGCTTTGAAGAAATGAAAAAGATCCTGTCTCTTCTACTTATCTTGTGCAGTCTGCAGTCTGAGCAAGAGATTGTTTTATAGACAGGCATATCTGAGAAGAGCCCAAGCAGTCCTGTCACAAGAATTCCGGTCTTTTTATCTAACTAGAGAGCTCCTACCCAGAGAGGTTACATATTCTGTAGTGGAGAAAAACATCTGGCAATCCACTGGACAGTGAGGGCCCTACACTATTAATTCCTTGGAATCCCATTCATGCTGGTCAAACAAGCTCTGTTCAAATGGCTATCTGCCATGAAGGGCTCCAACCAAGACATTACTTGATGCCAGGTAGTTAAGTTGGATATCAGCCAGGAACATTGTCTGCCTCAAGCTCTTATGGCCCTCTGTTCCAAGGGTCACAAAGGTAGTTGGGGTAGGGGAGGAATGTAAAACACACAAATGGCAGGTAAGTCTCTTCAAAGGCATTTCCAGCCACTTGGGCAGCGATGGGAGATTCCAACAGTGAGGGGCAAAGATTCTGCAGCATTTGCCAGATCTGCAGCTCCCCTGCTCTCTCATCCAGAATCCTCTACTTTCTTTGCCATTGTCTCCAACCCAAATGCCAGTCAGACACAGAGGAAAAAGGGCAGTGCTTGCACTCTTAGTCTTTTCTTTTGATACAGCAGTAGTGGTTCCTGCAGGGCCCACTGAACTGTGGGCCCGACGCACCACTAGTAATGCTGGGTTTGGATTTACCCCGCCTGGCTTATGTCACACGCACATAAGTGTTCATGGCTAAAAATTTGGGCCAGGTCCTCAGCTGGTGTAAATCAGCCTACCTCCTTTAAAATCATGGAGCTAGGCTGATTTACATTAGCTGGGGATCTGGCCCTCATTCAGTAGTTTCACACTACTCTTTGCCGTGAGCATCGTCTCAGACAAATATTACAGTACAAGCATTAGACAAGTGCAGAGCTATGAAACCTTTTCTAAAACGTATGAACACAGCAAGGCTTGTAGAACTAGAAAGCTGCCAACAAGGGCTTGTCTACATGGTGCGGCAAATCATGCCAGAGGGGAGTGATCTGTAAAGTGCACTAATGTGCTGTGCTCTAACTGCCCCACGTAGTCCCTGTGGGCACACTCTAAAAGGTACCTAGTTCATGTAAATGTAGTCCTGTTTGAAACTGGGTACCTTTTAGAGTGTGCCCGTAGGGTCTACCTGGGGCAGTGAGAGCAGAGCACGTGAGTGCTCTTTGCAAATCACATCCCCCTACAGTGCACTTTGCTGACGCTGTGTAGACAAGCCTTAATTCCTTCCCGTCTATCTTCATTTTGCTTTCCTCACTTTATTTACCCCTGCCTCACACAGCAGAGCAAAGTTCACTTGATTCCCTTTCAGAGAAAGAACTGCTCGACTCTAATAATTTCTTCTCTCTGACTCACCCCACCCAATGC